TCACGCTGCCCATTTTTCTGCTTCAAACACTTCAATTTGAGGACATTTCCACTTGCTGCCTGATATATCCTACCCAGCCAGATAATCAGTGCTCATAATGTTAAAGCTGGTAGGTGTATGTTTCAGTAGAGACATGACAAGGTAAATATATATATTTCCTGTATTGTGTAAAGCATGGAGGCAACGCTGGAGGCAATGCTGCCACTATCTAAATAGTGCCACTAGACATTGACAGGACAGAATATACAAATACAATGAATACTTGTTGTGAATGTGAATGTTTTATTCTCAAACTATTTTAAATAAGGAAGGATGGAACTTTACAGTACATCTCCACTCAAGTGAATGAGGGATGAGGGAGTGAAGTGCCTCTAGTGAGAAATTTGATGCTTTGGGGACACCCTACACCAAGTAACACTCTCCAGTTTAATGGCTACAATTGATTCTGGGGAAACACATTTTGTTCTGATGTTACTACAATTGTCTACATACAGGGCAGTGGGAAGTAGAGGTACTGCCAGTGCTGCAGCATCCCCTGCTGGAAATGGATCAAGCTGCAGACATGCACAGCCCTGCCATATGCAAAATAATAATAATAATAATAATAATAATAATAATAAACGTGTTAAAACATTTTAAATAATTCTCCCGTTAGTATTTACCTGAGAACTGAATGCTTGAGGAAGTTTTGAAAATATTTATTAATACTGAATTATTATAAAAAATAACGCCAAACTTCATGGTCAATGGACATTACCTTTTAAACTCCTGTGCGCATTATATCTGGAGCCATCAGCTCAAGGTAAAGGTAATAAAGGTTTGCTTTTTCTATGATTTAATTACTGCCCCTTTCTGTAAGTGATCAGAGTTCATTTCACTTCCCTATGTTGGGTTTGGTTTGTGTCAACTGTCGGCTCACTCTCTGTTCCACCCTCAGCCACACTTCCTTAGGAAGTCAACAAGGAAGCATCCCGACAAATATCTGAAGAAAATGGCCTGTGTAGCAGGTAAGCAACCTAACGTGGATTTGAATTATTGTTAAATATGCCAGCCCAAACAATAGACATTATATTGAGAAATGTATTAAATGTGGCAGTGTTGCAGGAAACTTGCAGCGGTTGTGCAATGGACGTCTGTTCTGTACTCGTGCTGAGGACAATTACGCAACTTTTAAGTCAAAATTTAAAGACGGATATACCAGTGCGTTTATTTTTAAACTATAACAAAAACAAATCTCTAACAATAAAACAATACTATAGCCGACCTACACACAACCAAACCCAATGTTAAACATGGAAATGGCTCCAACAGTTTAAATGGCTATCTCTATAAACGCAGACGGACCAGGTAAAGCAGAAGTGTTTTGTTTTTTTCAGCGCCTCCTCCACATCCAAAACGCGCGTTGTGTTTCTCTGATGACTTAAAACATACTTCTGATAAACAAAGTCAACAGAGCAAACACCCACAGCCTGTATGATACATGGAGAGAGAAGCAGAGACGGTGGTGCAAGCTGGTGTGTGTGAGACAATGTAGAATAATACCTGATATAGAAAGTATTTTGTGAGTAATCGATTTACAGTATAGATAAATAACAGGCAGGCTGTTTCTAAGAGAGAGTGTAATATGTTTCCTATCAATAGATAAACTGTGGTCAATTCATAATTGAATAACTTATTAATTTTAATACTTATGTATCTCTTCCTATACATCATTATAACCCTCTGAGGTTTGTGTGTTTTCTCTTCACTCTGTGACCTCCCCAACATTATTTTTTGGTACCAATTTAAGAAATATTTCTTTACCAGCTTCAGAGTAATTTCAGTAGTTGAGGATGAACCTGTTTCGGCTTATAGCAGGCTTGATATTGTAAAACCTTTTGCTGCTGATCTGGTTTTTCCAGGAATGGAAGATGAGTATCACCTATAAAAAATTTTTTTCCTGTTTCTCGTGTCAGGCTTTCAGTTTATGAAGATATCTAATTTTTAATAATATCTTCTGTTTGTCAGACTAAGGGCCTAGTCATCCTAGCATTTATCGCTACAGAATTTCTGACCCAAATGAATTCAACAAGTTCAACTTTTGGTGAATTTAACAGCTGAATCCATACTTGAGGAAGTATATTATTATCCTAGTCGCACCATGTTGTATAACTCTGCACTGAGTATAAACTGCTCCTGAAAAGAGATGTAGCATGGTTTGCATTAAGCCACATTTTTAGAATAGAATGCCTTTATTGTCACTATACACATGTACAATGAGATTAAAAGCCAACCTCCAAAATAGCAGTGCAAAAACAGTGTAAGAAATAAAAAAAATATACAGTATAAACATAAGGAACATTAAAGTAATAGTGCAAAAAAGGAGGAGGTAAAGGTGGGCACTCCTGAGGAGTATGTACATTTGCAAAATAAATATAGTGCACATTGTATTTCATTGCTGTGGTACCCTGTACTAAATATGCATATGACAATAAAACTGAACTGAACTGAACTGATCAGAAATTGGTAGGAAAAGAAGAAATAGCCCATGTTGACCAGTCACAGTTTTTGTGGTTCCCATGTGGTATCTCCATAGCCTCGACTGTAGTTAGACAGACATCAGCTACAGTGCAGATTATGCGTAGCTTCAGTGTAACCCCTTTATGTAGAAATATAAAGCAGCATGTTAAATTAGCTGTTCGTCGTTTAATTTCCCAGACAACTCTGTAAACCTGCTTTTTTTTTAACAATGCCCAGATCTTAAACATACTGTAAACCTACTCATTCATAACACAGGAATCAGTTGGGAGGAATGTGATATGTCAGGAAAGAAACTGAAGTCCCTTCCTCAGGATCTTCTAATACATGCTCGTAGTTTGGATTTGCAGAGGAACAAACTGAAACGGGTCATTGGCATCTCCAGATTCAGCCATCTGATAGAGCTTAATCTCTCCAGGAACAAGATAGTGGAGTTTTCTCCTGAAATGCACCACTTGCATGAACTAGAGACACTCTACATGAACTACAACAACATAAGATCCATTCCAGAGGGAATCTTTCCACATCTTAGGAGTTTAAAGTTCCTAAAACTCAGCGCCAATCGCTTGTCCAGGCTTCCTTCAGATATAAACCAGTGCACCAGTATCACTTACCTGGACCTTTCCAAGAACTGCCTGCAAAACATTGAACCACTAGTTGGTCTCCCAAAATTGAAGGGGCTTTTGGTTGAGAAGAACAAACTGACAGAGCTGCCATCCCAGCTCTTCCAGGATGGCAACTGCGAGCTGACCATGTGCAAGGCCTTAGGGAACCCACTTAGGTGCCCACCAGAGGAGGTCTGTGCTGGAGGGGTCATGGACATCCAGAGCTACTTTCGTCAAATGGAGGAGAATCCGAACACACACAGTGCCTGGACAGTCAAGACCATGTTCCTGGGCTCCTCCATGGCTGGGAAGTCCACACTCTGCCGCAGCCTGAGGGAAGGGAAGCCTGTGGCCGTGGCAGTCGAGGACCGGACTGAGGGAATTGAGATCAGTCAACTCTATGCCAAGGAAGTCCGTTTCCTTTTCTGGGACTTTGCAGGGCAGGAGGAGTACTACCTGACACACCATGTCTTCATCACACCACGAGCCCTTGTCATCCTTACTATTGATTTAGCCAGGTAAGCAAATGTAATGATTTTGATTAATCATCTTTTAGGACATAGCTTCACAATCTTTTATGGCTTTTGACTCCTTAAAGCTACGAACATACAGGATATTTATGTTTTCCCAAATGACAATCATGTCTAACGTGTTCATTTAGCGCCATCATCGCCACCATTAGATTTATGACCACACACCTGCAAGACTAATAACATATCCCCAGTAGCCTCTCCTGCACTTTGTGTTTAGTGCTAATATTAGCATGCTAACATGCCAAACTAATAAGGTGAAGGTGCTAAACATTACACCTGCTTAACAGCATGTTAGCCTTACTGTTTTACACAAATTAGTATCATTTTTGCATTTAGCTCAAAGTACCACTGTGCCTTCAAGTAGGCCTACAACCCCACAGAGACATGAGCATGGCTGACTTTCTGTGTAGTGAGTAATTTTATTTGCACAAGTAACAAACACAGTGCTGTTTGATTTCAATCAGCTACAGCATTGTAGAGCCACATTCATTCAAAGACCAACTGTGGTTCTGGATAAACAACATACAGTTGCGTGTGCCAGACTCAGTGGTCCTGTTGGTGGGAACACACTGTGACCAGTGCAGAGACCAGGAGGAAGTGATGGAGAAGAAGAGAGACATAGAGGAGAAGGTCAAAACCATGTTGGCAAATAGGAGAATGGTTTTAAAGCAACAGAAAAAGAATCTGGAAGAAAACACAGACCTCTCTCTCTTTACAGACCAGCTGGATGAGCTGGATTGTCTCTTGGAATACAATTTGAAGGTACTGACTAATTAATGGATATATTATATTATCTTAAAAGTATTTTGTTACTTTCCTCGGAAAACGTGTTTTTAGATGATTTAATTGAAGCACAGCTTTCTTCCGTGTACCATATTCTTTTTGTCCTTAGTGTATTAACTGTTCTGTAGAAAGTATGAAGTTTCTTGCCTTGCCTGTATAGCCTTTCATAGCTGCCCATAACTGTCCTTATAGGTTCTGGATCTTGTAACCATTGACTCCACAAGGACTGAGGATATAGCAAAATTGAAAAGTCATATTTTGATGTGCATTCAATCAGAGAATGAGCTTCTGTGCTCTGAGAGCATCTTACCAAAGAGTTATGAAGCGGTGGAGCAAGCCATTCATACACTTGTTGCACTACAAGAAATTCCCCAACATGGTAAACTAATTGTTTTAACTCCAAGGACTGTGTACTTTATTTATAAATGCTTATGTTGATTTTATACCTTAATTATTTGTTTCTATATCAGGTATTATTCTACTTGAAGAACTGAGTGATTTAATTCTAAACCATGTTAACCTGAGCAGAGAGAGTCTCCACTCCATCTTACGATTCCTCTTGCGATATCTGCATCGGATTGGGGTGATCATTTGGTATGAAGATATTAGTATACTCAGTGACAGAGTGTTTATCCAGCCTTCATTCCTCATCTCAATGTTCAAGGTAAACAGTTTTTAAATACATTACAACAAACAATTACAGATCATACATTTTACACCACTATTTGTAAATTACCCTTTAACTCTTAACTGAAAATACAAAAGAAAATGTTCAAACCAGCTTCCTTGACATGTTATAATTATGTGTGTTCCTTACCTTACTCAGCGGCAGTGAGCTGAGTTGATGTAAGTGTATCTGGCTTTTATTGCCTATTGTTGATCTGTCAGTTGTGGGGCTTATATGTGGAGTAGGGAAGCGGTAGTTTCAGCTTGGTGGTGCGTTCCAGTGAACACCATTGACCATGTTCATGGGTGCGAAGCACATCTAAACTCTTTCTATCCTGTTACTATGATTCATAAATTTTCACTCTCCCCACCTCTTTCTGTAAATGCAGACCATTGTGAGACATGACCTGGTGAAGCAGCTGGAGGGACTCTCCAAAGACCTTCTCATGCAGGAGGGGGCTCTGGTGAAACAGAAGTTCACCTGGGTGGATGACCTGATCTGCAAAGGCATCCTGCACAACGCAACAATGCGCATCTTGGTCCGCAGAGAGTTAGAGAAACTGGTTGTGGACGATGACGACTTGGTCAGAGAGGTGGTGGGAACCAAAAGGGAGGAAGGCATAATACTCACCCTACTGCTGTACTTTGAGGTCTGCCTTCCCACTTTTGCTGGAAGCCCCCTGAACCCTCAAGCAGCAGAGTTCATCCCTGGTGAGAAACAGTGGGAGTTAGTCAGGGAGGCAAAGAGGGATCCGGATGGAGCCTGTCTCTTCCCCATCTACCTGAAGGATGACCTCATAGTGTGCCACAAGTGGGGTGAGGACAGACAAGATGACATCAGTGTTCACTTGTACTTCCTTCCTGAAATTCCTCACGGCTTCTTCCACAGGTAGCATAGATTAAAACATGTTTCATGGTCGATGATGATATCATAGTTATATTTGTAGCTGAAATCCATAACATTTCAATCAGGGTGATGATCAGCTAGAGAGAAGACGTGTTGATCTGCGCCTACCAATCTATCCCTGCGCACTCTTAACAATGGACTTACAGCTGAAATGTACTTGTTTCCAATGTTTAGATTTTTTGTATTGAAAAACACAATTCAATTGTGTTTTCTGATGCTCTTGTCATTAACGAACTTCCATAAATTGGGGGTATCTACTGTGTGTAACCATCAGATTGATCATCAAGACGTGCTCCCTGTACTCGACTCACTGGGTGGGTAAAGAGCAGTGTCTCCTCTGCTGTGGAAACAGACTGGCTCTGGTGAAACTGAATAATGGAGATGAAGATCCGTTCATAGAGATACGCTGCAGGAGACCAGAGAAGGATGAAGGTAAAAATCTTTGATCACTCTTTCATAATGAGACCAAATGCACAGCTACAGTACAGTCAACTGTTTCTCTTCTCAGAGTTTCGACCACTGTGGGATCTGATCTTGGCGGTGATGTCCAAGCTGTTTGTTCTGTCCAGGCAGTGGCCAGGACTGGCTCAGCAGGTGCACACACCCTGTCCAGAGAGAGGCTGTCCACACTACTTTCCCTGGAGAGACTGGCAGGAGTTCCACAACACTGACTTCTACAACCTGTAAGTGTTGCCACAGTTTGGCTTTGTGCCTCTTATGCACTTGTTTTTCCTGAAAGACAGATCTGTGGTTATTTTTCAAAAACTCAGAACTTAAACAACACCACTGTTTTGGAGTTCTTCCCAGAATTTTATTAAAAACTTCTGCCCATCTGGATCACCAAATAGCACATCACTGCACAGAAAGAATATATATTTTAACCATTTACAAATAGTTGCTCTTCATTCCTAATCCAAAAATATAAGTGAAATAGCACCACAGTTGTTTTGCATTACACAATAAAAATATGAATATATTTATTATGTATGAAAATAGTAAGTAGCCTTAATATGGATAATATGAGCTTGATTGTTTTATTGATTTGTCTATGGGCTGATATTTGT